GAATGAAATCAACAACAAAGCTGAATATTAAATTCTTCTTATGCTTCTTATGCTTCTTATGCCTTTTTTTATACTAAAAGTCATCGTATATAATATAATGAAGATCATATATTATTTTATTATAATAATTACGAACAAAAACGTAAATATTTTTTTATCCGCTTATTTCTATGATAGTGCACATTAGATATATATAATGCGACTAGTTAATAGTCTATAGTTTAAGAAATATAGTCTAAGAAACGTTTAAAAGGTTCAACTTTTAAAATGTAGCAAGCAGTATTTGTTTTAAGTAATGTCGGAGATTAATAAAACGTGTGTTTTATAGAATAGTAATCAATTAATGTTTAATATTAATCGGTAGCCAACGTTGTAGCACTGCCTCGCGTAGCGCGTGTAAAATTACATACATATGTAAAGCTCTGTAAAGAAAAAAATATATACGACAAACTGAAGACACGTTTCGTCGTCACGTTTGCATGTACAAACATAGCGTGCAAAAAATATTGTAAATCTTTTGTACGTAGCCAAGACAAGTATCTTTGCAGCTTTTTTCCACATGTGATATAGAAGGTAGACTTTAATGTGTTATAACCAGACGAATATTTATGTAACATACATAAAGAAAGCAATAAAGTTTTCTGTACTTGTATAACCCAAAACACCTGTCAGAGTTTTCATGCTACAATCAATCTTCATTACATACGTAAAATTTGATTAACTTGCCGCGACACTGTGTCTATCTCTGTATGCTTTTTCAAATTGCAAACGCAAAATACATTCAATTTTTTATCTTTTTTAATATAATATCCTCGTGCTTTATCAGTGCCCATTATAAATAAAAAAATATATTACATAAAATATTATGATATTGATAATACAAATTTATTTCCGAATAAAAAAGATTTCTAACTGATTCGCAAATTTATGCGCGTTAATCGCTTATAATATTTGATAACGAATATAACTTCCGATTATATTATATTTATCTGTATCATCGTCTTTTTTTCCCGATTCCTTTTTTTTTTTGTTGTTTCGCTTGCCGCAACCGATAACGAGGCCATTCAACGTTTAAGAGCCTGCAAACATTTCTCGTCCAATCAAACGCATTGTGAATCCGAAGGCGCCACCTCACATCCCTCGTGTCTCGACATACACACGTTAAGGCAAAAGCAAATAATCGACTATTGACGTGGGCAACCACTTTGTGTAATGCATTGCGTGTCGCGCTAGTTACAATTGTCAATGCATTCGGTACAAAATTACTCCGACGAAAATTGGAAACGTCACTTTGCAACCGAGTGCATACCTGTCAAACTTTAACGACCATTTTTATTATTTATACGTCGATTTATTCGATCGAAGTTCATTTAAAAAGGAAATAATATTAATTGGAATACCATATATTTACTTGTAGATTTATATTTTTAATAAATGCAAATTAATATTAAAATACTCATTTTATTAGAGCAGAAATTAAAATTAAGCACAAATAAAAAAAATAGTATGGATAGTTATAGAAAAAGTTATGTAATAGACAACACATGCGTGTTCTTTTAGCACTCGTACGTGAATTATGTTAATCACAGTGGCGCATCTAATCATTGAGCAACGCGGTCAAGGCAAACGAGTATTGTCTACTACTAATTGGGTTTTTTTTTCCTATAGATTATACTTCCTTCATCAATATTCAAGTAAAAATGTATGATAATTTCTGCAATATTATATAATACAATATAATTCATGTAAATATAAATAACAGCATCTGATCTTTTTCTCTACTCTAAAAGTATTGTATTGTATTGTATTTTCTTTATTACATATTATAAAATACCTTTTACAATACAAAACATCCCAACTTTTCTTATTTTTTTACCAAAAATAATTTTCAATTTTTCTCATGACTTTACTGTCACGCTATATTATCTTTTCATATTCTTCACACATGAAGTGTGTAGATATTTCTTTAGCACTACTAATCGAAAGACGACATCTAAAAACTCAATGAATAATATTCAATAGAAATAATTAACAAAGTAGATATATGTATAAGTTAATCGCGGATTAATAGTTAATAAATATCTTTGGAAAATTAGTTATATCAGATGTAATAAATAAAGAGATAAGGTTTCATATTGAAGACGAAGTTATTCATGCTATATTATGTTACAACAACTTGTCAGAGATGCACAGTACAGATCATCTCGCGCGAGATAGAGAGAAATCTTCTATCTAAAGTTTCTTGCACGTACATATAAACCCCTAACAACAGACTGCCGACAGAGTTGCCTGTCAACAGCATGTCGACAACAGACATGCATCCAACATTCTCGAGAATCATTCCCAAGGATATTGTCTTCTCACTATGTCTATTTCGATACTGTCCAAAATGCATTTCCTCATATGCCATGTCCTTTCGTAATTTACTTGTATTTTTTTGCGATTTTTAGTTTACTTTTATGTGCCATGTGCTATGTCCTTTCGTAATTTACTTATATTTTTTTGCGACTTGTAGTTTACTTTGTACAACACAATGAGATAATACAATTCATAAGATACTGGTCGCGATATAATACGGTTCACGATGTTTCCATTAAAAACACATTGAGCTTTCACTAAAAGATTCATGATGTTTATTTCAAAGAACATCTCTTTTGATATTAAAATAATTCTTTTCATATTACGTTACTACGTAAATATAATTACAATATTATTGCATTGTATGTTCATTATTTAATATATAAAAATATCTTACCGTTGCAATTTTGAAATAACAACACTTTAGATTATCTTATACAAAACATTAAAAATATAAATTTAAATTAAACGGTAAATTACATTTTTGAATAAGAGTAATAAATTTTCACTCTTTTTTTGGAGTGAGATTTATTCCAAAAGTGTGAAATCACTCCAATAAAAAAGTAAAAATCTGCCAATTTAAATTTTTCACTTTTTTTTTCATAGTGGCAGTATTTTAACTCTTTTGGAGTGAGATTTCACTTCAAGAAATTTAGAGAATAATAAAATGACTTAAATGACGGGGATGTAGCAGTTTCTTTTTACTGCAACAAAACTCACGGTGTAAAAAAGCTTTTCATTTCCTTTTTTTCTTCTTATCGCCTCATCTTTCTTTTTGTCTCAACTTGACAACAAGCGAATACACAGTCTGTCATTAGTCTGATGCATCCGCACAAATAGACAACTCACTCTACACCTGTAAACGGAAAACTGCGCACCTGACAAACGGTTCTATCCGCAT